GTGCCAAGATTGTTACGGCTAAATAACTCTAAGTATGTGCTAGAAGAAAGCTATAATAGGTCTTTGTTTCTCTAGTGCACCTAACTAATAAATAATAATAATGTATGGAGGAAAATCTTAATTTCTATATATATTTTAAGTAGAAGTACCGTGTGCAGCTCTTTTAGGAAAAGAAGTGATTCTGAGGATTTGCTTATTTAATGTTGTAGAAACTAGAAAATCATGGAATTTGATGTGTTGCAATCAACTTCTAATCTGTCAGACTAAATAATGCTCGCATCAACAGAAGTAGAAAAACACTTTCACTCTCCCTTCTCTTCCACTGGATTGTACATTCCATGATTATTCCTACTGTAGAGAAATATAAACTTCCTCATTCCATTGGAGGCTAGGGATTATAAAATGACTGTAGGCTGTGAGGCAGGGTGTGTGAATGAGGTCCGTTAGTGCCAACAGTGTCAGTGTTTTAGGTCCCAAAGTGGGCGATGAGTGTACAGAAACTAATACTAGTTATTTCAACTTATCAAATATTAATGGGGAAAATTTATATGGACAGGACATACCCAGGTAGGAGTACAAACACTGGAAGCCTTCAAGAAAAGCTGGGAGAATAGAAGTGCTCAGAACCAAGGGAGACTGTAAATACACTGGACGTATCAGAAAGCAGGTGGAACTGTGAAATCAGTGGCACATAGGTTTTCCTTAATATAAAATTTATAGAAAGAATATTGTGGTGCTTCATGTTTGGAGGCAGTACAGTTTGATAAACGTAAGAGAAACAGATTTCTTCACAGAACTGGAAATACCAGTTCCAAAAAGTAATACAGTACTGGGGACATATTAATACAGGGAAATAATAGAGATGTAAAATTTCAGGAAATTTTGAAGCTTGGAAAAAAACCCAGGTTTTTTCCGTTTCCCCCCCCGGGAAAAAACGGAAATTTTCAGAAAAATTGAAAAAAATGCTACATTAGCATTTATTTTGTCTTTTTTAGATTGAAAGTAATTCTGTTACTTTAGGAACATAAAATATGACTATGGGCATTTTTACTTGGCATGAAATTATCACAACTAGCATATTAAAAATATAGTGTATCCAAACAATTATTACAAACAGAATACCCCACCCACATGCAAAAACAAAACTGAAACTTTTTTATTTTCTTCTGACAATCACACCTCCTAAAGGAAGAAATGCATCTTGTTCTTGCATTGGAGAGTTCAGTTTGTAACCTAGGACTTGCTTGTCCTCAGTGCACAGAAATTAGATCAATCTGTTACCATATATATATATATATTAGAAATGATTTGGAAAATATTTGAACACCTTGTCTTAAAATATTTTATTCATCATGTTAAAATAAAACGTTCCATAATCATTTTTTTCTTTTCTTTTTTCAATTTTTCCAATTTTTCAGAAAAAAACAAAAAAGGCTTCAGGAAAAAAACGGGGGGGAAATGATTTCCCCCCCGAATTTTCCCGTTTTTTTCCCGGGCTTTCACATCTCTAGACCTGATGCCTGCAGAACGCAGGGTAGTGGAGATGAAATGCAGATTAGAAAATAGCAAGCCAAAGTCATGCCTAGTGGGATGAAGCTAACAGGTTGTTTATCAAGAAAGCAAGCTGATAACTCGGTGGCACGTGTTCAGACAGAATATCAAAGGGGGATAGTGGGACCATGGAAGAACAGAATTTTTCCCTCCTTTTTTCTGAAGCCCAAGCTGCCTGTTTGGGGTGGAGGGGAAAAGAAGTCGATCATTCCTGTTCTCCTACCCCAGACTTCTCACTGTTTACCAACCTTGTTGGAATAGAGAGAGGGAAGCTTGGGTGCTGGAGTGGAGAAAGGAAGAAGCTCCACTGCTATCAGCGGAGAGTCAGCTTTCGATATCCACCTCTGAACTCCTTGCTCGGTCCCTGTAAAGGGGCGGGGGGACTAAGCAAGATGTTTCTGAGATCGTTTCTGTTTGGCAGCTGTTTGGAAGCTGAACAGAGTGGGTGACACGGGCCCATTTGTGTTTGGGACAGCTGAATACAATATATTTGGCTGTGGAACATGTTTATGACAAAATTCTCAGCAGCCCCTATATAAAATGCTGAACTAGATAGACTCTTTGTCTAATCCAGCAGGCCTGTTCTTATTTCTGATTTAAAGGAAGCACCCAGTCCTTAATACATATCCTCTGTTTGGACATTATTTAATCTGATTTGTTGTCTTTAGTCTCTAGGTTTGGGGGGGTTGGGTCTTCATAATTCACCACTAAACTGATGCATGGCTGAACTTTATGCTGTATGATAACTCTAATGAATCAAATAAAAAAGGTGAAAGAATGCTACACAGACTTACAGCAAATGCTGCCAGGTCTATAAACAGTGCACATGAACATTATCAATTTTCCCGAAAGGGTTTGCTACTGTATTAACCCAAATAATGATGCTGAGGTTTCATACATGATGAGTCCTTACTCTGCTTGTGATTAATATTACTATTTACAAGTGGGGGTCTGTGAGACTTGTGGCGGGGATTCCCATCTCCCCCTCACTGGGCTGGTGTGTGTGGGGGAAGGAAGCCTGGGCAAGCTGCTCCCCCTCCCTGCCCCCCCTCCCTGCCCCCCCCTAACAGTGCACCTACCTCCTGCATTGATGCAGGGCTTGCAGCACCGCCTTCCTTGCCCACCAGGTCAGCCTCTGCGGCTCCTGGGCTGCAGCACCTTCTGGCGTCTTTGCCACTGGCTTCCACAACACTGCAGGAGCTACTGCTAAAGCCAGGCGGCCCTCCACAGCAGCTCACCAGCAAGCCCACCTCCCCCCCCCCAAGATCCTTGAGCTGCCGCTGAAGCCAGGCAGCCTTCTTGCTGCTAGTCTGCCTCCCCCCAACATTGCTGCTAGGTTCCCTACTCTTTGGCTCCTCAGCTTCCTTCACTGTCACAGAAAGTAGGTGCATTGAATGTGTGTCTTCAGACACTTTTGTTTTTGGTGGGATTTAAACACCCCATGTAATTTTTTTACTGATTGCAAATTTTTCTGCAAACTTGGGGGTTCCCCCAAGTTTGAAGAAAAATCTCCTTTATCTCATTGTGGACTCGATTGTAGACTTAAGTATCTGCAGATCCACCCACAGTTGAGAAATAGATGTATAGATTTACTAAACATGTCAGGATCCATTAAGAATCTTCACTGTTGAGAAGTGCCACTCTGATTCCTTTTTTTGTCTTTTTCCAACATGTGCATCATCTCAGCTTTGGATTTCAGTTTCTTTAGTTGTGTCGCCTCTAAAAGACTGCCAGGTCTTTCCTACTTTGTATTAACATTTGGGGATGAACCATGGAAAGGACTTGCTCCAGTGCCCCAAAATGTAAGAGTGGTGATTACAGGTATGAATCTCTGCTGTTTGGAGAAAGAAGGAACTTGCAAGTACAAAAGAAAAGCAGTGCATGAGAAATGACGCTGGGGATGTCAGTATCCCATCTGTCCAGTCCACTGACTCGGTCTCAATAGTCTCCACGGGAAAAGCCCAGGCTGGTAGCTCAGGAGGATGAGGGGGATCATGGAGGGTCCAGCACCACTGAGGTCATCCTGCCTGAGCCTGCAAGGGAGGCCTCACTGCCAGCCCCTGAAATAGTTACCAGGCCTGCTGGCCAGGAGCTGAACCCGAGCCTATCCCGCCCCCTCGGGGACACTTTCACCCTGCAGGAACAGTAATGGCAGAAGGCCTGGACTGATGTGGCCCAAAGGAGGTGAAGTACACAACTGACTGCATACAGCCCCATACCAGAGCCAGGTAGTGAAAACAATTCTTTGCAGGATCCTGGCTAAAGCACAAGGTTAAGCACTGTGCAGCTGCAGGAGTTCAATACCTTCCAGCAGGGCACCTGAGTCAGATTACTTCCTAGCCTTTTTAGGCTGATGCTTGGGGAAGCTCCTTGCTGGATCAGTTGGTCCTATGTTCCAGCTCCAGTTCCTTGCCTTCGATTCCTGTCACTGCTCTCAGGCCTCACTACCTAGACCTGAGGGCACTGCTGCCAAGGAGACCTGATTAGAGATATAAAATTTCCGGGGGGAAACGGAAATTTTCGGGAAAATTGAAAAAAATGCTACATTAGCACTTCTTTTGTCTTTTCTAGATTGAAAGTCATTCTGTTACTTTAGGAACATAAAATATGACTATGGACATTTTTACTTGGCATGAAATTATCACAACTAGCATATTAAAAATAAGTGTATCCAAACAATTATTACAAACAGAATACCCACCCACATGCAAAAACAAAACTGAAACCTTTTTATTGTCTTCTGACAATAGCACCTCCTAAAGGAAGAAATGCATCTTGTTCTTGCATTGGAGAGTTCAGTTTGTAACCTACAGCTTGCTTGTCCTCAGTGCACAGAAATTAGATCAATCTGATACCATATATATATATTTTAGAAATGATTTGGAAAATATTTGAACACCTTGTCTTAAAATATTTTATCCATCATGTTAAAATAAAACGTTCCATAATCAATTTTTTTCTTTTCTTTTTTCAATTTTTCCAATTTTTCGGAAAAAAACAAAAAAGGCTTCAGGAAAAAAACGGGGGGGAAATGGTTTTTTTCCGAATTTTCCCATTTTTTTCCCGGGCTTTCACATCTCTAGACCTGATGCCTGCAGAACGCAGGGTCGTGGAGATGAAATGCAGATTAGAAAATAGCAAGCCAAAGTCATGTGGGATGAAGCTAACAGGTTGTTTATCAAGAAAGCAAGCTGATAACTCGGTGGCACGTGTTCAGACAGAATATCAAAGGGGGATAGTGGGACCATGGAAGAACAGAAGTTGGAGTATTGAGTTGAACTATATGTAGTGGTGACAAAGTAGCAATTGGTTTGATGGTGTGGTATTCTGTTTGAGCTCTGTGGGAGTACAGAATGTGAGTTGGAGTCTTACGTAATAGTTCCTTACCTAAATTCTGGTTACGACTAAAAACATATGGGGAGATCATGGTTATTTACTTTAAAACTTACATAGCTTACTTCCTCTACAATGGACTGAAGGCGAGCACAACATAAAAGCACTATAACATCCAACCATAAATTCATAATCCAGTCACCTATAAAAAGTCCAAGAAAAATTTTTTAAGATCAACTTGACCAAAAAGCCTGTCTAAAAAGCCCAGACTTTTGCTACAATCTAAATTTCAATGGTGGCCTATTTAACCCCCTTTAAAGAGGTCTTGGGAATGGCTATGAGAAGGCCTGAGTGCAGACTGTGGTGAATTTTACGGACCTATGTTGGGGGTCTACTTTGACAACAGCTGTTGTGCAGAGTGTAGTTGTTGCACAGATTGTTACTGGTAGAGACGCTGCCCTCTAAGTATGTGGATCTCAAGATGTGAAGGAGATAAAGGTAATCACCTTAAATTAGCTCAGAATCAAATCGTCAGTTTGTGCAGGTGTTCTAGGATTACAGCTGTATGTTCAGATCAGCTGACTTCTGCCAGAAGCTGAGCTGTCATATTTCTCATCAGCCGTACTTTCTGTGCAATCTTTAATGGCAGCCTCACACATTAAGTAGTTTAACACTGAGGTTATAGTAGCATGGATCAGGGTGGCCAGATCAGGTAAGTCTCCAGGGTTTAATTTGCCAAGCTAAGCCCTACCCAAGGAAGGTGTGTGTCGGTAAAAACCAGCGAGATGTATTTGTCACTTTGCAAGCAGAAACGGAGACAGGATTAACCATGGTTCGCTTTAGCACTTGCACAATTTTAGGCCCAGAGCAGGTGACATGAACCTGGACTTCCAGACCATAGTTGTTTTTTTTAAATTGATTTTCATAGATAAAGAAAACAAAAAACAAAAACCAACACACAAAAAACAAACCAACAACAACATATAGCTCTATAGCAAACAACTATAACTATATAACTGTATATAACTATATATAACAATGCATTACATATAAACACAATCTATATACAGTATAGCAATATTCCTTTTGCTATATCTTCAATTCATTACGAATCCAAACTTCAAACGCTTCTACTGTTTATGCCTAATTTATTCATTTATGCTAAAACTCTTAGTGTCCAACCATTTATAAAATCTCAACCAGTAATTGTCAAATTTCACCATACTCTTTTCTTGAATAATATAAGTCAGCCGTTCCATTTCTGCTAAATCCAATACCTTAAAAATAATGTCTTCCTTCGTAGGAATATTCTCATCCTTCCATTTTCTTGCGAAAACGATTCTTGCCGCAGTTAAGACCATAGTTTTGATGGTTTGAAAATGTGTAGTAAGGTCGCACTCTTCTCGCTTCTCTTGTGCATGGTTTCTCTTCTCCAGTTCCTGGTTTCTTTCACCATATGTTGCTATGACATCTGAATTGTAAAATGGTTGGTACTCTGTCTCCATCTGTGTTTTTCAAACCCACTTCAAACTATGTTTTCAAGTCATGGGTCAGAGTGCTGTTGTTGGCCATTTCACTCATCAAGACAAAATGGCTAGATCAGGAGTGCTCGTGGGTGCTGTGGTGCCTGTTGATACCCTTTCCTGGTACTCACCAAGTGTTTTTGGGAAGTGGGCAAGGTGGGGCCAGGTGCAGCTCAGCCCAGCAGGATTTCTGATTGACCACTGGAGACCTGATTGGCTGTGGAGATTTTTAAATGTTTCAGTGGTAGATGCCATCACAGCGTTCATTTTAGTCTCTCAGTTCTCTTACCTAGTGTATTTTTAATTTCTCTTCTGTGTGTGTGAGTGTGTGTGTGTGAGAGAGAGAGATTTCCCTTGCTTCCATTAAGTGGAAGAACTACTATCAGAGTACTGCATAATCTCATTTTATGATTGGCTTTTCATCCTGGAGCAGCCAGTTTGTGGTTGCACACAACACCCTATGTCAGAGTTTCGAAGGTTCTTGTAGGCTCAAAAAGGTTGGTGACTCCTGGCCTAGGTGAAGCTAGAAAGTTGAGAGAGGATGGAGTGTGAGCCTGCAGCAGATTCTTAAGCCTCCATGTTATAGTTTGTAGAATGGGGTTTGTGATGGCAGAACCTGATTTTAGTTTATTTACTTATTTACTTCATTTATACCCCACCTTTTCCCCAATGGGGACCCAAAGTGGCCCACATCATTCTCCTCTCGTCCATTTTATCCTCACAACAATCCTGTGAGGTAGGTTAGGTTGAGAGACTGACTGGCCCAAGATCACCCAGCAAGCTTCCATGGCATGAGTTGCGTTTCAAGCCTAGGCCTCTTAGATTGTAGTCCAATGCTCTTAACTGTTACACCACTTGGGCTCTCTAGCTGTTTGACGCACTTTCACTTCAAACCATGGATTCACATCTTGGTTTGTAACCAGTTGTTAACAGTGATTTATATATGCAAATGAAACATGTAACTATAATTATTAGGTCTAGATAGGTAGTATGTGAAAATATATGGTAACTTGGTGCTGGCATTTGTGGGACAATGTCGTAATTTTAACTACTACCCAAGTGTAGCATGTACTTCTCAAGAGTAACTGAGCTTCCAGAGCTTCCTTAAATAGCATTTTTGTAAAAAAAAAAATTTAACCTCCTTTATTGGGGAAGGAACATTTTTTTAAACTGGAACCCACTGTATTTAAACCACCTATATTTGGCGAAAAGTGCTATGCAGAGAGGATTTGGAATCTGACTGATGTGATTGTGGAGATTTTTTTTAAAGTTGTCAATTTATTTAATTTCTAAATCATACTATAATTGCTCTGTGACTTTCTCAAGTTATGCTAAAACATAATGTAATATTATGCTATACATCTTGTTTTGTTTTTACACCCAATAATTGCCAAAAGTAACAACTTGCATTGGTCAGCCATGAAAAGTAGAAAATCCTATTACAACTTTTATTTGTAGTCTGTGGTGCTACTTCATCAGGAGTCATTTTTCCTGGACTGCCTGGCCTAATGCAGTCAGAGTATAGTGCTTGCAAAAATGTGTGTTGTTGAAAACTGTGACTTTTATCATTTTCTCAGTTCAAGTTGTGAGGTCAAGGCAAATCAATAGTTTATAAGAATAAATAGAAATTTGGTTCATATTCATATGTTTGCCAACAGTGACTGTGATCCCGTGTGTGTATCAGTCAGACTTGTGGTAGAATTAAAATTAAACGATCTTGTTAACTGAATTAATTCCCCTGTAAGATTTCAGTACAATGTGAAGCAGGGTTGATGCTAATGGGTTTATATTTGGAAGGGATTTCTATATGTAATCTATACATTTTGGTAAAATTGTGTTTTCGATTTTGTTTATCCATGTGTTTCGTAGTGGTGCTTATATGTTAAAGTAACTCTTTACTCTAAACTTTTGGTTTCTACCCAATCGTTTCCCAAGCAGCTTTACAAAGTAAAGTATTTCTTTTGCCTTTGTATTCTTCATAATGAAAGTATTTTCAACAAAGATTAGGGCTGCATTTACTTGTCAGTTCTCCCCCTCCAACCAAATATGCTGGAATAGTGCAAAATAACATTTGCTACATGTGTTGAGAATGCTTTACTGCTGCAGTGTTGTAAAAAAGAACTTTTCGGTCCTTTCCAAGATCATTTCAGACCAGTGTGGTAACACTGGAAACAAGAGCTTTTCTGAATTGACTGTATGCTTCTTACATACCTGTTTCTTGCTTTTAAATTGGCTAGATTTGCAGCTTGAAGGTCATGTCAAGGCTCATTCCATTCGGGGCAGAGCAGCTTTGGCAGCTAGCCTCAGATCTGTCAAATGTTCAAGAGATTAGCAGAGCAGCCATATGGCTCAGTCTGTTCACATTTACAGAGAATTATTGCTTGGATTTATCACTTGGACCCTGCTCTTGCTTTGTTACTGAAGGATCAATTATTTTTTTTGTATACCCTCAAGTTGTCTGTACTTTTAGTTTTAGTCCATTTGAAGTAACTGCTTAAAAAAGAGGTTGTAGTTGAAACTTGTCTAAGATGGGGAAGCAAGATGAAAAAAGAGGCTCTAGGAGAAACTGGAAATGTGACAATCTTAGAATGTTCTGCACAGAACGGAACTCTCCTGTGGAGTTGAGACTTCTGCAGTGGTATTTATTGTTTATAAAATTTGTATCTAATCTTTCTGCCTTTACAAGGGCCACCAAGGCGGCTAACAATAAAAAATATACATGATAAAATCACATTTTGAAACCATTCCGATCACTACCCCATATATTCCTATGTTCTCTTTGCTACTATAATAAGAGAATGTTGTCCAGGAAGACTATATTTCTTTTTGGGCAAAACTCTGTCTCTCAGCCTCAGTCCGCCCCATTTGTAATCTGTGGATAAAATGACATGCATTCAACATGCATTTTCTCCATTGGAATGGTATTTCCATTTGGGGAAGAGGGTGTGGTGACTTCTGGTAAATCTCCCCTACCATTGCAGAATCCCACTTGTTCCTTGTGCTGTTCCTGAGGGTCTGCTTCCTCTTAGGAACAAAATTTCGGGGGGGGGGTGGATGAGTGCATAGGGGGAAGCAGGAAAGTGCTGCTCCATGAAGTCTGTAGAAGGCTGGCTACATGCCACTGTTAGGTACTTCAGGAATCAGTGCCTACCTGGTTTTTATTACACAGCAATACTTTCCCGCCACAAGTAGCTCCACTGTCAATGAAGTTATTGTGTCCATCATCAGTATATGTCTACTCTTCCTGTTCCCCCAGAAGCTGAAACTGGAGCTTTCTGTTCAACAGAAAGAACTTTTTTGATTCTGTGGTTGTGAACTGAACTGTCCTCCTCAAAACGATTACTCAAACCAACGGGATATAGCTGTACTTTGCCTGCCTCAGGTACTACTCTTGCCCAGCCTTCTCCAGAATGCTTCCAGTTCCATCCCCTTTTTAATACAACTTGGCAAGTTGCTGTACCTAGGCTTTCCTGCTGGCTAGCTTCACTTTTCTGCTGCCCCCATTTTCGGTGAGTATTAAAAGGGCCCTGAGCCTTTGGCCACTGGACCTGGTTGCCATATTTGTTTCCCACCCTTTCCCCCATGGAATTCAGAGTGGGATATATGGGTTCGGTCCATTTTATCCTTGCACCAATTCCGTGAGGTACACTTGTTATTTATTTATGTTATTGTCTGCCTTTCTCACTTGGACTCAAGGTGTGGGTTACACAGAGTGAGTCAATGCAATTGATGGATGGGCCATACAATAAACAATGCAAAAAACAGAACTGAAGCACAGCATAAGTATTTGCATGACACATTTCATGATGCAAAACTTATATAGTAGGATCCTAGCTTCAGCAAGCTAAACATAGGAGCATAGACCACAGTTTCTAATAATTCAAGTAAATTTGTGAATCGTTTAAATCGGTGCACCTCTGTTGCCTGCATAGAAAAGCCGAATAATTCAGTTTTGCATAGTTTGTGGAAAGCCAGGAGAGTGGGAACCTTCCTGACCTCCTCAGGCAGGCCATTCCACAAAGTGGGGGCCACTGGGGTAAGGCTGGGACCTAGATGTTCCATATTGAAATACAGCACAGTTTCACTTGTCCTGTTTGGCTTCATTTGCTCCAAACTTCCTGACAGCTTTTGTACTGTTTCTTATTATCATGGTCTTTTGTTTTCTGTTCATTTTTACCAACATGACTATTGAGGCCCCTCCACTGCGACTCATAACTCTTCTTGTTGGTATTTTGTAATCTGTGTATAATTCTCAGAATAACATGTAACTTGGAGACTGTTGGTTTTTGGATTTAGTATAAGTAGTGCTCATACCAGAAGCAATTTTGGAGTTTCTTCAGAATGAGGTAGGTTATTCTGTACCTTTGTCTTTAAAAAAAATCAGTTTAAGAGTACTTGTAGGAGCATGCAGTTCTTGGAATTCGTTGTTTATAGAGAATTGTATGTACCTATTGAGATGCAGTTGGATGAGGCAAATACAAAAGTGAATGAGATGTTGGTTTGAAGTGTGTTAGCGAATGGAGGTTCTCAAGTTCTGGTATCGTCCCAGGCATAATTAAGCAAGCTGTTACTGGTTTTCCTTTTCATATAGGAGCTGTTTTGTTCTCCACCTAGGAATTGGTGTTAGGATAACTTTAATGTCACTTTGAGAATGCTAAACAAGTTTTAAGCAGTACTATTAGGTTCCATAACAGATTTCAGTAAACACTTGAGGAACTGGGAGAAAGCTTAAGATCTAAAGTTCTCTGCTTCTTTAGGAAGCCAGTTCATAGAATGAAGTTTAAGTCCTGTGGCATCTTTAAGACCAACAAATTTTAATTCTGGGTATAAGCTTTCATGTGCATGCACATGAAAGCTTATACCCCAAATTAAATTTTGTTGGTCTTAATGGTGCCACTGGACTCAAACTTTGTTCTGTTGCTTCAGACCAACATGGCTACTCACCTAAATCTAAGTTTAGAGAATATAATGCAGACTCCGCACTGTTGTAATTACCTCTTGCACCTCTTGGTTTTCCCTCTGTCTTATATACACCAGTCACAATAAAAGCTATTCTGTGTTAGCCTGTTGCAACAAAAGCAGAAAGAGCTACCTTTGGAATGTAAGGGCTAGCAGATTTATTGCGATTTAGTTAACATCAATGAATGGTAGTTTTGAAAATTACTTTGGCAGCCACAGGAGGGTAACTAGACATATAAACAATAAAAAGGAGTTATACAACTTTAGCACTTAAGACATCTGTAAAAACATAACTGCAGAAATAGTGGCAGCTGATAGTATCTAAGAAGTAGTACATTGTCAACATAATATATAGAGCAAGGGTAGGAAACTTTTTCCTGTTTGCCAAGATCTGCAATGTCTACCTCTAAATATGTTTACCAGCAAACAAAAGTGTGTGTGTGTGTGTACACATCTGGCTCAGCACCTCAGCATCAGTCTCTTAGGCAAAAAAACCACCCCAGCCTTGCATGCTAAGCCAAAAGGTCTGGCGTGCTGCATTAAGACACATGTTACAGGGATGTCTATGCCTGTTAAAGACAACTTCAGTTTATATGCCTGTGGGCTAGTACTTTTTAGTTTGGGATGAGCAGAGACTCTAAACAAACTACTGAAAGTAATGTTTTTTTTTTTTTTTTTAAGAGATGTATTCATTAGTTCATTGGAAAAATGACAAATCATACTGACTTTTCCTCCTTTTTCATTCAGGTATGGCCTCACAAGTCTTGGTCTACCCACCATATGTTTATCAAACTCAGTCAAGTGCCTTTTGTAGTGTGAAGAAACTTAAAGTGGAGCCAAGTAGTTGTGTGTACCACGAAAGAACCTACCCACAGATCCATGTGAATGGTAAAAATTTTGGAATCGCTCAGCCTCCCAGCAGGGTTGGTACTTTCTTGCAGGCACCAAACCTATTTGACAGACCTCAAAGAGATACTTTTTTGCTGCAGACCAGTGGTGTTGCTTTAAAAAATATTGCAGGTGCTACAAAGATATTAGCAGTGCGGGCACAGCAACCTCAAGGGGAAGCACCTTGGACTGGGACAGAGGAAAGTGGATTAAATGCCTTGGACCGCCCCCAGCGATGTGGACTGAAGCGTAAGAGTGAAGAGTTGGAGAATCAGAGTGGCGCAATGCAGATTGTTGATGAACTGCCTATATTGCCTGCAATGTTGCAAACTAACTTGGGGAACCCAGTGACGGTTGTGACAGCTACTGCAACTTCAAAAGCAAGTGGTACCAATGGTGATGGTGATTATCAGTTAGTACATCATGAGGTGTTATGCTCTGTGAAAAATACTTATGAAGTTCTTGATTTCCTTGGCCGAGGGACTTTTGGACAAGTTGTAAAGTGCTGGAAAAGAGGAACAAATGAGATAGTGGCAATCAAAATTCTGAAGAACCATCCATCTTATGCACGCCAAGGACAAATTGAAGTGAGCATATTAGCAAGACTGAGTACTGAGAATGCTGATGAGTTTAACTTTGTGAGAGCATATGAGTGCTTTCAGCATCGCAGCCATACCTGCTTAGTTTTTGAAATGTTGGAACAGAATTTATATGATTTTCTGAAACAAAACAAGTTTAGCCCTCTTCAGTTGAAAATAATACGGCCTATTCTGCAACAAGTGGCCACTGCACTGAAAAAACTAAAAAGTCTTGGTTTAATACACGCTGACCTCAAACCAGAAAACATTATGTTGGTAGATCCTGCCCGACAGCCGTATAGGGTTAAGGTAATTGACTTTGGATCTGCCAGCCATGTATCAAAGACTGTCTGTTCAACGTATTTGCAGTCCCGGTACTACAGGTATGTATTTGGGTGTTCTACTACTGCCTTTTGATCAGTAGTTTTATATTTAAAGATTGTATTAAAAACCCAGAATGTCAAACATCCTCTTTTCTGGTAATTAAATGTTCCTTGTTACAGAATGATATGTTCATGTAAAGTGAGAGGGATACATGTTTTCAGTGCAGTAATATTATTCAGGTTTTAAGTTTGTCCCAGTGCATAGTAAATGTGCCTAAATTGATAACCTTGGGCCCCGGGCATACGGGCCGGCTGAAACGCGGCTACGCAGAGCCGCTCCAAACTTGATACGCCGCGGCGGGATCCCACGGATCCCCTAGCCGCGGCGCAGCACTCCCCGGCACGCTCAGATGCCGGGGAGGAAAAGTCCGAGGGGAGGGGGGAGGCTGCCGAACTGCGCATGCTCGGGCATGCGCAGTACGGCTGGGGGCCGGGATGCGGCGGCGCAAGGACGCGCCGCCGATCCCACAGCCCTGCCTGCGCCGCACCAATGGATGCAACCACCTAGAGAGGTGGTTGTTTTTTGCGGCGCAGTTTGGGCCGTTGGGACGGATCAGGGACGGAGACGGCACGCTCGCCAGATGTTGAGGTGAGATCGCGCCTGTTTGCTCCGCCCCAGTTCCGTCTCGCTCCCGGCCCAAATGGGCTCGTATGAACGGGGCCTTAGTTTGTACTGAAGCGTTTTTGTGTTTTGTTGCTTGATTTAATACCTTTGAATATTAGTAAGACACCTCATGCCTCAGCTTTCATTTAAAACAATAGTGTGGTATCCTAAAGATGCCTACAGTAACATGACCAGATAGAGCTTGCCTTTGTGTGTCTACAAATCTTCTGCTGAGGGTTGAGGGAGACCCCTTTGCAGAATAGTGGGCTGCCCAAAAGAAGGGAGACAGCACCCCCCCCCCAATACCATGGTGAATTTTGCTCATAGAGGTCCCCTGACCCTCAGCAGAGGATTTTGGGAGCCTTCAAGCAACTCTTGAGGAAAGAGGAAGGCAGGGAAAGCCTTTTCTCCTCACGTTACCTTAGGATCCAACCTACAGTGATAAAGGGTTGTCTGTTCCTCAACCCTTGCAGTGAGTTCTGGCTATTTAGATATTTCTGTCCCACTTTTCTCCCCAGTGGGGTTCCAAAGCAGCTTACAAGGTTCTCCCCTCCTCCACTTTATCCTCACAACAACCCTGTGAGGTAGGTTATGCTAAGAGAATAACTAGCCAGAGTCACCCAGCAAATGTCTATAACTTGCTGTCAGAGTTAAGAAATGCTTGTGTACTACAAACGTGTGGGGTATATGTAAGCAAGTTGCACTCATATTGGGTGATTTGATTGTTGCCTAACAGATTAAGCAAATTATGTGATAGGATCCCTCCAGAAAATCTGTTATGTATCAGCCATTACTATGCCTGCCTCTTACCTTTTGAGAATTTTTTTCCATGCTCAAAGTTTAAAAATCTGTCTCTCATGGTTTTGCAACTGTACTTTTGCTGTGGTATATTTTATATGTAACTAAATTGTTTCTGCAAGATGTTAAGCATCATATTTTGGGTTATGTTTAGTATGTGAGAAAGTTTCCTCCCTAAAGAATGTGTTCCATATAACAGAGCATTTGTGTGGTTTTTTTTTTTACGTACAGCTAGATAACTTCAGGTATAATTTTATAAAAATAAGAAACACCTATCCTGAGGCAGCTATGTTATTTATTCTGGTATCCTAACAGTAGCTTGCAGTAGGAAATGTGCAAAAACAAAAGATGCTGTATATTTTTCTGGTTCCAGGCTCTCCTGCTAGTAAGAACATGAGCACAAGAGTTGCCTTTCCTGTTGGTTGATAGCTGCTTTTTCTGTAAGCTATTCATAACTTGAAACAGCACTGACTTGAACAGCATGGATTTCACTGTTCTTGATATAGTGAATATGAATAAATGACAGAAAAGGAAGCATCATCATACTTTCCCGGGACTGACTCTCACATACTCCATACAGACACCTTTGAACTTGGAGGAAGTTTCCATTGGTCTCTGCTTTCTCCTTAACCCTAGTTAGCAGGGTATTCATTTTTGCTGCTGAAAAATAATCTTGCATTTACCTCCTGTTCATTATCCAGGCATCTGTCCTACCCAAGGAAAGTACTTGAAATATGCTTGAATTCTGCTCTGTTTTGGTTAAACTGTTCTTTCCATTCCTATTTACTTGTTGGTTGTGCTTTTCACAGAGAATGAGTTATGCTCAAAGCAAAGATGAGCATGTAGATCACTCACCAAGCAAGCCTGAACTTCCATGGTGTATTAAAGGTTCACTCACTTGGAAGTGCATTACTGCTAGCAGTATTCAGAATTCTTTTTCTGAGTGTATGTCGCATGGAGGCAGACAGAGTTACTATAAATATTATTGATCTTGCTCAGCTTATTCTTAAGAATTGGGTGATATAAGAACTTAATTAAAAGCATAACTTTCTCCTTTTCTGTGCTTACAATAGACTCATGTGTAACTTCAATATTTGAGTGCATATGGATTTTTCCTGTATAGCAGGTATTAAGAATGTAAACTGGATTTTACTGAAGGTGTTACTAAAGATAGGAATTTGATTTTTATGCTATTTTTATATGCTACCTGATCTTGTTGTTTATTACCTGTAATGTTGCTAAAGAGGAGGCAGATATAGAAATATATTACTAATAGTGTTAGAATTGTTGACATAGAAAACAGTTTGAAGGCACCTGCTGAAGTTCTGTTTCTAAAGCAAAGCGAATCTTCCGGTGAGTACCATGATGCCTATGTATGCTACTTCAGGCTCCTTGAAGAAAAAGCAGAACATAGATAAAAAAGAGCTTCGTATCTGTTATCTTATGTATGGATCAAAACTTGGGCTGTTCGTTTAAATATATTTGTACACAACTTCTCTCTGAAGAGAAGCAAAACAGCTTTCAACAGTAGATACAGTGTAAATGAACAAATAAACAAAACAACTAAACCTTGGGCTGGTCATGGATTCAGTGACTGGCTCCTACAGGCCATCGGCTAATAACAAAAGAGACAATAGCCCTTTGGTCTTACCCAAGTTTTTATGTCTACAATGTGAAGGGAAAAAACAAATACAAGGTGTTAAAGCTGTCACAGTCACAGATGTTCCTCCTAATCTTCCATTTCCTTCTAAATAGTAAAAGAAGCAGGCTGTGGATAATCAAAGTTTAGTTCTGCATGGATTTTTAAAAAAATATTTTCTGTCTACCTAGCCTTCATTGCAGTATGTGGTATGTGGTCTGTACCTGTGTATATTAAGCACTTCTCTTGTGTGAACGATTTTGTCACACGAAATAGCCAAACATGGGAGACAAACCCCTCCTCTTCCATTTTTCACTTTCTGGTAGGAGCTGCTTAGTGTTTAATACACAGTGAGAATTAGTGTGCATTCCTGGGCTTAGACCACACATCTTAATATAGAGGTCTTTTTGACAGAGTGTTGTAAGTTTTGGAATGAAGATGGAGATATGGATTTAACAGAGTACTGAGAGGAACCACAGTCCAAGCAAGCCAAGTAATGTTCAAATGTGTTATAGCACTAAAATAATGAGCATACAAATACCCAATCCCAATACTTGCACAAGTTTTATCCACACTGTATATCATATGTATCAGGTGACAGAAAGTTAAAGAGGGAGAAAGAGAAAAGACAGTACGGGGGAGGTGAAAGGAGATATTACCTATACTTTTTTGTGCGGAGGTGTCATATGAGATGGCTTTAGAACATGTAGGCATCTGTTGACTGGAGTAAACACCAGGCCTACACCTGTGCAGAGGACAGTTGTTCCAAGAGGGTTTGCTTGGCAAAGATGCCAAGTAGAAATCCAAGCAATACCTTCAAGAAGGGTCCGGGGAGCAGAAAACATGGCACCCAAACTGAAGGGCAGCAGACAACCAGCTGAGACTTTCAAGGTACATATAATTCAGGAGCTGAGCATGAGTTGGTGGGATGAGAGTTGGCTCTTGTTGTAGGGGTCGGGCATCAGTAAAAACAAAACTTTGATTTAGGTGTGAGGAGAGACTAGTTATATGATGTAACACAGAGTGAGTCAGAAGCAAGCACCTGAATGAGTTTGGAGGGGTGGAAAGCTTGAGTCAGGGAGGAGGTGTGCCCAGGAGGTTTTATGGAATAAAGCCTTTCGAAATAAAGGGTTGGAGGGAACCAAAGAGTTGTAGGGTATCTATTAAATAGCCTCCTTTAGTTACAGGCTGAGATCACCAAAGTTACTTCCAAACAATGGGGTAGTATGCTTTAAATCCATAGATTGGGTTAAAAGGGTTATACAAATAGTTAGAGTGACTGTGCCTAGCTATGCCATTTTTCATTGGACTTTTCAAGACTGTACCTTTCTGTGGTCAGACTAGCTGACCATTGTGTTTCATGACTATGATTCAGTCATACAAAGTGTTTTGTGCCAGTCTAGTCTTCTGGTCAATTTGCTTCCTTTTGTCCTGAAAATAACCTCTGGAACATTTCTCGGATATAAAGATTTGCCAGGCATTCTTCAGTTTCTCAAGCCAGTGGGCTGGTTACAGAGCCATCAGTCTGATCCTGAAAGCCTTCAAATTGTCCTGGATTAGGTGTCCGTCTTGGAACAAAATGTGTTCTATTGAGTGGGTTTTCTTCTAAATCTGAGTCTTCAAAAACAGATTAAGATTTTTGGATTGTGGGATCTATTCTGTAGCACTAATGAAGAGATAGGCCAGAAATGATGGTAAGTCATGTTTACACCCATTTTCAATGAATATCGATTAAGTTAACCAGTGGAAGTATGCTTAAAAAGCAAATTCTCCAAGCTACTATACCTTCCCACAAGCTGGATGTTTTTGGAGGCAGATAACATGTTTTTGTAAGACCATTTTCACTTTGCCATCTTGGCAGATTGTGATGCTGACAAATGTTGACGCAATGAATGAATGAAAGATCCATGCTTTTTAATAAATGCAGCAAGGAGGAGTAAGGCATATCTCTACTTCCAA